CTACTACTACTGCTACTTCTATTACTACGACGACCACCACTACTACTTGCGCCACGACCACTACTACTACGACTGCGACGGTTAGTACGACTACTACTACTACTACTACTACCACTACTACTACTTCTACTACTACTACTACTACTACTACTACTATTACTAGTACTAGAACTACTACCACTACTTGTGCTACTACTACTGCTACTACTACTAGTGCTACTACTACGACTACTACTACCACCACTACTACTACTACTACTACTACTACTACTACTACCACTGCTACTACTAATAATACTAATGCCACTACTGGTATTACTACTTGTACTACTCCGGAGTCTAGTCGTGCTACATCTACTAGTCCTAGTGCCACCTTTACTACTACTACTACTACTACTACTACTACTACTACTACTACTACAACCACTAGTACTTGTAAGACCATATCCTCCACAAGGACTACTACTAATACTACGAATTGTAATGACACTACCACTACTAATGCTCTACACGCTCCACAAGTGCTACTACGACTACTACTACTACTACTACTACTCTTACCAATTTTACGGCTACTACTACTACCACTTCTATTTCTTTTACTACTACTACTACTACTACTACTACTATTACTATTACTAGCACTACTACTACTACTACTACTACTACTACAACTACTACTACAATATACTACTATCATGTCTAGTACTGCTACTATGACTGCTACTATTCCTAGTATTATTTATATTACTAAATGCTGCTACGACTACTACGACGACTACTACTACTACTACTGCTGCTACTACTACTACTACTACGAATACTATTAGTCTCACTATTACCAGTACTACTACTACAACTACTACTACAACTACTACTCCTACTACTACTACTACTACTACTACTACTATTAGTACCACTACTACTACTACTACTACTATTACTACTACTACTACTACTACTACTACTACTACTACTACTAGTACTACGACTACAACGGCCACTCGTATTAGTAGTGGTAGTAGTAGTAGTAGTAGTAGTAGTAGTAGTACTACCACTACGACCACCACTCCTACTCCTACTCCTACTACTACTACTACTACTACTACTACTACTACTACCACTACTACTGCTACTACTACTACTACTACAACTACTACGACTACTACTACGACTGCTACTACTACCACTACTACTACTACTACTACTACTACGACTACGACTACTACTTTCACTACTAGTACTACTACTACCACTCCTACTACGACTTCTATTACTACCACTACTACTACTACTACTGCTACTACTTGTGCTACTACGACTACTACTACTACTACTACTACTACGACTACTACTTCTACTAATGCTATTGTTTTTGTTACTACTACTACTGCTACTACTACTACTACTCCTACTATTACTATTACTACTACTACTACTACTACTACTACTACTACTACTACTACTACCACTACGACTACTACTACTACGACTGCTACTACTACTACTACTAATACTCAGACTTCTAGTCGTACTACATTCACTATTCCTAGTATCGCTATTACTACTATTATTACAACTACTACTACTGGTACGATTATACCTTCCACAAGGACTGCTACTCATACTACGAATTGTACTGCTACTACTACTAGTACTAATACTTCACACCCTCCAGAAGAACTGCTACTACTTTTACTTTTACTACTACTACTACTTATACTTCTACTACTTTAACTAGCACTACTACTACTACTACTACTACCACTACTACTACTACTACCACTACTACAACTACTACTACTGCTACTACCCTTACTACTACTACTATGTGTGCTACTACTATTATTTCTGCTACTGTTCTTTGTACTATTACTATTATGAAGTACTGCTACGACTACTACGACTACTGCTACTACTGCTACTACTACTACTTCTACTATTACTACTACTACTACTACTACTATTACTCGCACTACTACTACTACTACTACTACTACTACTACTACTACTACTACTACGACTACGACTACGACTACGACTACGTCTAATACTACTACTACTACTACCACTATTCCCACTCCCACTCCTACTACTACTACTACTACTACTACGACTACGACTACCACTACTACAGCTACTACTACGACTACGACTACGACTACTACTCTACTACTACTACTACTACTACTAGTACTACCACTACTACTACTACTACTACGACTACTACTACTACGACTACGACTACGACTACGACTACTACTACTACTACGACTACTACTACGGCTACTACTCTTACTACTACTACTACTACTACTACTACTACTACTACGAGTACTACTACTCCTGCTAGTACTTCTGCTATTTCTACCGTTACTACTACTACTACTACTACTACTACTACTACTACTACTACCAATACTACTACTATTACTACTACTACTATACTAACTACTAACTTAACTACTACTACTACAGACACTACTACTACTAACTACTACTACTACTACTACTACTACTACTACTCCTAGTAGTAGTAGTAGTACTACTACTATTACATCGACTACTACTACTACTACTACTACTACTAGTACTACTACTACTACTACTACTACGACTACGACTACTGCTACTACTACTACTACTACTACTACTGCGTCTACTAGTACTACTACTAGTACTAGTACTAGTACTAGTACTAGTACTAGTACTAGTACTACTACTACTACTACTACTACTACTACTACTTCTACTACTACATACTACCAGTACTACTTCTACCACTACTACGATCCCGCAAAAGACGCGCGAAATCCCAACCGCAATCACTCAGGCGAAAGTCTGCTCCTGTAAGGTGCCCATCGCAATTTCTGACAGCAATGAACAAGTATGGTAACATTTCAATATGTTTTCTTTATTCGCTTCCTCCTCGGTTGGGATCTGACCGTGCCTGGTGTTTTGGACGGTTGGGATCTGAACCGTCCGGTTGGAGGGGGGGGGTGGGGGTGGGTTGGGATCTCACGCGTCCGTAGGATCTGAACCTCGCGGCATCCTACCCCCCCCCCTCCGGAAACCGGGGGGGGTCACTACCGGTTCAAGACCTCCCACACACCAAAACCCCCACCGTACCCAAACCCCGATCCACACACAACCAACCCCTAACCCCGTAAGCCCATCCCCCCCCCCCCCCCCTCCTGCTCATCATGAAAAGGGGGGGGGTCACTACCGGTTCGAACCCCTCCCCCCCCCCCCCCCATCGAAAACCGGGGGGGGGTCACTACCGGTTCGAACCCCCCCCCCCCCCCCTCGAAAACCGAGTGGGGGTGCGGACAGTGGTGGGGACGGTGTTGGTGGGGACAGTGGTGAGGGGATAGCGGGACAGTGGTGGGGACAGTGGGACAGTGGGACAGTGGTGGGGACGGTAGTGGTGGGGACAGTGGTGGGGACAATGGTGGGAACAGGGGGGGACAGTGGACAGTGGTGGTGACGGTGGTGGTGGGGACAGTGGTGTGGGGACAATGGGAATGAGGTGGAAACAGTGGGACAGTGGAGGGTACAATGGTGGTGGGGACAGTGGTGAAGGCGGTGGCGAGGACGGCGGTGGGACAATGGGACAGAGGTACAGTGGGGACAGTGGTGGGGACAGTGGGGACAGTGGTGGGAACAGTGGGACAGCTCAGTGGGACAGCGGAGGAGTCAGTGGGACAGTGGGGACAGTGGGGATAGTCGGGCAGTGGTTGGGGCCGTGGAGACAGTGGGGAGAGTGGAACCGTGGTGGGAACAGTTCTGGGGACAGCGGGGACAGTGCGACAGTGGTGGGGCCACTGGTGGGGACAGTAGGGGCGGTGGTGGAACCAGTGGGGACAGCGGTGGTGAGGACAGTGGTGCTGGGAACACCAGTGGGGGATGTGATGCGGACGGTGGTGGGGACCGGGAGTCGTTTGCTGGCGGTGAGTAGGGGGGAGGGGGGGGGGGGGTTCGAACCGGTAGTGACCCCCCCCGGTTTTCCGGATCCGGAGGGGGGGGGGGGGGGAGGGGTTCGAACCGGTAGTGACCCCCCCCGGTTTTCGAGCGAGGAGGAGGGGGGGGGGGGGGGGGAGGGGTTAGGGCGGGGGGGGGGGTTGCCGGGGGACGGGGGGGGGTCCAGCAGGGGGGAGATTTTCGGAAGGGGGGGGGGCGACCCCCGGGCTCCGGAGGAAAAGGTTGGCAATTTTCCACAGTAGAGCGGCGGTGGATCACGCTCTCTCGTATGTATGCATGTACGCATGTATGCATATATGTATGCATACACGCATGCATGCATGTATGTATGCATGTATGTATGCACGTAAGTATGAATGCATGTATGCATGTGTATCTCCATGAATGTATATATATTATGTATTTGTATATGCATATGTATATGTACATGTATATGTATATACATCGATGTATACATGTATATACATCTATGTATACATGCATATATGCATGTATGTATGTACATTTGTATGCATGCATCTATGTATATGTAAATGTGTGTGTGCATGCATGCATGTATGTATGTATATACTTATTTATGGATGTGCATGTATGTCTATATGTATGCATGCATGTATTTATGTACGTGTGCATGTATGTACGTATGTATGTATGTGTATATGTATGTATGTATGTATGCATGCATGCATGCATGCATGTATGTATGTATGTATGTATGTATGTATGTATGTATGTATGTATATGTATGTATGTATGTATGTATGTATGTATGTATGTATGTATGTATGTATGTATGTATGTTTGTATGTTTGCATGTATGTATGTATGTCTGTGTGTATGTTTGATTGTTTGTTTGTATGCATGCATGCATGCATGCACATACATGTATGAATGTATATGTGTTCCAGTCTGTGGAGGTCTTGCGGACGCATCCCTTCATGGCCCCCCCCATCTCTTGGGGCGTGGACGCGGCAGCCGGACGGCCGGCGCTGCCCCCCCCTTCCCCCCGGAGCGGGCAGGAGGATGGCCGCGGCCTCCGCGGCCCTCCGCCGCGCAGCGCTCGCCGCCGCGGCCCTCGCCCTCTCCGCCCGCGGTCGGGGCCCGCTCGGCGGCTGGCCCGCGCGCGCGCGCGCCTGCCGCGGCCCGAGGCTTTCGGGGGTGGTCCTCTCCACCGCCAGATTATGTCCACAGCCGCCGCTTCGGAATCGTGCTCTGCGGCCCAGTGGCAGCGGATGTGGGCATCTTCTGTCGGCGCAGCCTCGTGCAGCGAGGGTCTGGCGTTGAGTCTGGCCTGTCCCTCTACAGGAGGGAAATCCAAAAATAGTAAACACATATTCTGGGGATTATTTTTTGACTATATATATATATATATATATATATATATATAGATTATTTTTTCCAGTTTTCGCCCAAAATCCCCCTGTAGGGGGACACGCCCGACTAAAGTCTGGCGCTGCAGTGCTTTCCTGCGCCACGGGCGTCTTCGCGGGGCCTCGGGCCCTGGGACACCCTCACAGATCGACCCTGCTCGAAGAGTGCGCGGGCTCCGGTTTTTCCTCCTGCGATCCTGCTCGATGCCCCTCCTCCATTCCCCTCCTCGACCTCCTCCTCCTCCGGCTCTCTCCCTTCCCTCCTCCCCCTCCTCGATCCCCCAGCTCCTCGACGCAGTCTGGGGCTCCAGTTTTTCTGGTCGCAGTCATCTGGGTGTTCTATCATGGGCCCCTTGTGGAACGCAACCTTTCAGCTTTCGCGCCGAAGACCGCTGGAAGCCGTCAGAGACCGCCAGAACCCGCCGAAGACCACCGAAGACCGCCGAAGACTGTCCAAAGACCGCCGAAGACCGCCGAAGACGTCTCAGGACTGATGGGTAACGAGGGGTCCATGGTCGAACATGTCAGATGGGCTTGTCTGTCCTCGGATTACAGTTTTTCCCCAAACAGTGCTTGTACCCAGGGGACCTCATTCCTGTTCTAAGGAACTGGGCCTAGGTGTCGGTCTGGCGGCTCCGTGCTCGCCGTCGACGCCCCGTCGCCGCCTCGTCGCCGCCCGCCGTCATGGCCTCGTTGTCGGTCTGGCGGCTCCGTGCTCACCGTCGTCGCCCTGTCGTCGCCGTCGCCGCCCCGTCGCAGCCTCGCGTAGATTGCACCGCGTAGAATGCATATCATAAGTTGCACCACATAGATTGCACCACAGAGATGGACCGACTATATCGCACCACATGAACTGCACCACATATATTGCACAACTTATACACCAGGACATACATTGCACCATACATGTATATACACATTGCACAACGCTGATCGCACCACAGATCGCACCACAAATATTTTGCACCACATAGCTTGCACCACATTCATGGAACCACGTGCTTCGCGCCACATCGATTGCTTCACATTCCGCATCTATTGTCCAACTTCTATCGCACCACATGAATTGCACAACCTGGATAGCAGGACACATGTAGTACAACATCTACTGCACTACATAGCTTGCACCGCATATATTGCAGGCTTGCTCCACATAGTTTGCACCACATATTGCGCGGGCCTTACGGCCTGTGCCGCCGACCCTGGAGGCATCGGCTCTCGACGGCGGGGAAGGGAAGAAAGGGAAGGGGCTTCACTTTGACTCAGAGGCGACGTTGTTCCGTTTCGGTTTGTACCGACACGCTTCAGGAGAAGGTTGTAGGACAGGAGAGGAAGCGACGGGCGCAGTGGAGGAGAAGGCTGTAGGGAAGGGACAGAAGCGACGCCGGGAGGGCGGCGTATCTGACCCGGGACCCCCCCCGGGACCCCCCCCCCAGGACCCCCCCCCGGGACCCCCCCCCCCTGGCGGGGAAGGGAAGAAAGGGAAGGGGCTGTTTCCACCACGTATTTTGTTCCACATGATTGCCGACTGTATATTGCATCACAAAGATTGCGCAGCATATCTTGCACGACACACGAACGTATCTACACATATATGTGTATATGTGAGTTTGTACGCGTTTTCCGCAGAAGGGGAGGCCTTCGGACAACACGGTGCTTTCTGTTGCATCCGTAGCCGCTCCTTTCTTGTTCAGATAGGCCCGCCCGGGCCGCTCGTTCTGGCGCCACGCAGTTCCCGCAGGACAGGCTTCACTTTCTGTACTCCGTCCTCCGAGACGTCGTGGCCTTCAGCTCTCCGGCCCGCGAGCCGGTCTGCCATTGTCATTTTGAGGGAAATCAGTGCGAGCCTCTTTCGGACACGGGCTGCAGGCACATCGAGCGCGTTCTGACACGACAGTTGGAATCAGTCCAGAGCCAGCTCAGTGCATCGGTGACGGTGACATTCTGCATCAGCCTCGCATTCAGTTTCAGCTTGGTCTGTTTCTTGGCCGGGCTCCTCGTGGGTCGGTGTACCTCGCGACGCACTTCGACGCCAACTCCGTCGGCTCCCATCTTCGAGCAGCAGGCGACAACCCGTGTGAGGAGTGGTCCAGCGACCCCAGCTTCATTGCGGCTCGCTGATCAACAATGAGTGCTTTGGATATCAAAGAGAGGCAAATCTTGGTGCGCTACGATGACGATCCTAACTTTGCCTGGCATCATCGTGTATTGCTCGTTCGGATCTCTTCGGGCAAGTGGGTGGTCCTCACCCCGACAGGTGACTTGCAGATCCTGGACACCGCCACGGTCAGGTTCGAGCCGCTGGCTCGGGGCAGACCTGTGCCAGAGAGGTGTCGGAACGACTGCTTCCTTTTCGACCCGATCCCTGTTAGGGAGCTCAGCGAGGCCATCGCGCGTGCGAAGGTGCTGGCTGACATCGCTGGGGAAGACATCGAGGTGGACGACGCCGAGGTCTGGGTGGTCTCTGACACGTCCCACCCGCGGTTCGGGGAGCAGGTCGAGCCTGGCATCTTGGACGACGCTGGGCGGGCCCTGCTCCGGGACACCAAGGGGGTGGTGCAGCTCGACGCCAACGACGCCTCGACGGAGGTGCACGTGGAGCGCGTCAACCAGAACGACCTGGCGGACTGGAAGAGTCGGGTCGGCGGTGGAGGCGACCTGCGACTCCTCGGCACCTTCCGCACGGCAGGGGGCAAGCGCTTCCTCCAGGCGAAGGACGCAGTCAGCAAGCTCGAGGAGACTAAGTTCGACGACTTCCCGTTTGCTGACCCGCGTGCGGTCAAAGAGTATCTGGACGGGATCTTGGAGACCACCGATGGCTCGTTCGACAGCTACCATCAGAACTGGTGCGTGGCGGCCGGGGTCTCGCCCAACAGTGGGATCGCACATGACCATCGCATCATCCTGGAGGCGCTGCGCTTGGGGCTCACCTATGACCAGTACAACCTGGCAAACTCTGCCATGGGCGAGCAGCTCGTCAGGAGGCTCATCCAGCATGAGCTCGCGGTGGAGAAGGACGCGAAGCACCCCGACTACAGCGGGCTCGGCTACATGTTGGCGGGCTCGACTGAGGACAAGGGGCGCGTGGCCGTTCCCAAGTTCACCAGGTGGGTCGCCGAGAAGCAGCACCAGCGGGCTTTTACCCTCAAGCAGTCTCGTCTACTTCGGGAGGAGCGGGCTGCCGAGGACAAGAGGCGCGGCGGCGGCCAGAAGGGTTTCAAGGGCGCCTCCAAGGGGAACAACGGCGACGCCGCCGACGGCGGCAAGGGAGGGCAGGGCTAGCAGCCTTCGCTGCCCACGCGGGACCGAGTACCTGGTCGGTCTCGCCGTCGCTAACTTCGTACAGGTAGGAGCCTCCAGTCAGTTGCTTCGGGCTCTGAGTTTTGTATGCCGTGGTCTTCACGATCGCGGTCGGCGGCGGCATGGTGATCCTCTCCCTCTGCCAGTTCGCTTGGTGAAGGGCTCCCTCGGGGGCTCCGGACGCCGGTGGCGAGGAATGCGCGGGCAACCTGGACATCAAGACCAGCGTCTTGTCGAGTCAGTTCGCTCTCTCAATTTCCTGTATCGCACCAGAGTATGTTCAGACGTGAACTGCCTATACCGTGGCAGTTCGGGCAAGGCCTCTTCTTCGCAGATGTCCATCCTGAAGTCTCTGGATGACCGCATCTCTCTCTACGGCGAACGGCCGCGAGACCTGACCCCGCTGAGCGCGCTCAACGAAGTGTGCAAAGCGAAAGACCTGTACACGCAGGAGCCACAACACATGGCGCCGTACCTTCCTGACAAGCTGAAGGTGACGAAGGGCGCCACCACCCCGCTCCCTTTAGAGTCCGTGCTTCCTCCCGGCGCGCTGCGGCTGGCGACGGACTTCAAGAAACACGCGTTGAAGAGTGAGAGCGAGCTTGAGGCAGATCGTTTGAGAGGCGTCTCTGTCACCCCGTACTGGTGCCCGGACCTGCGGCGCTCAAAGCAGTGCCGCCGCGAGCTGTTCGCCACGCTGTACAACCGCCAGCTTCTCACCTTCAGGCGACGCATCTTCTCGAGGGTCTCAATCTTCTTCGTCTGGAAGAAGACAGGTATGACCAGGCTGATTGTGGACGCCCGCTCGACCAACGAGAAGTGCCGGATGCCCCCTCACACTGACTTGGGCACGATCGCCGCCTTGGCGGACGTGGATCTCAGCCTGGCCGAGCTCTCCGACATCGCGGACGCCGAGCTGAGCACCGAGGAGGAGGCCGAGCTTCTCAAGGGGCAGGGCGGGCTTTTCTCTCTCCCTTTCTCTGGGAGCTCTCTGGACGTGGTCGACGGCTTCTACCAGTTTGACAACTGGCGTATGGCGAGCTGGTTCGGGATGGATGATCCCGACGAGGCTGGCGTCTACGGAGTCACCGAGGTCTGGGATGACGACCTCGAGAAGATGGTGCCGCTGCAGCCCACTGACATCGTGTACCCCTGCTTCAGAGCGCTTAGCATGGGTTTTACGTGGGCTCTCTATTTTTGTCATTCAGCTGTGGAGCATATCGTCGCTGCCGGGGTCCCTGGAGGCGCCTCTCGAGCTGCTCGGGAGAAGCACCGGGCGCCGCGGGCCTCGTTTGCAAGTCCGATCACCTCGACCTACGTCGACAATGCGGCCCTGCTGTCTGCTAATACCAGTACTTCAGACTTACAGACTGTTCTTCATCAGTTCTCTGCGCGTGACATGCGCACACACGACATAGTAGAG